CTTATTGTACCTGTTGTTCTCTCCTGTACAGGTGTGATACCACACACACTACACAAAAGCCTGGGAACATTACAATTGAATAGAAATACATACATCACACTACAGAAGGCCACTATATTGAATACATGTCATATCGTTAGGAAATTCCTTAATACAGACACTGACACTGACATACTTATTTAATTAGTTTTGGTTGCTATGCCTTGACTCTGGTCCGGCATAGTACACAGCCACCGGTTTAAACCGAGTATTACCCACTAAACCCAACACAATAATAATAATAACTATCCCATGGTCACCACCTGGTAGTGGTGGGAGAGCCCAGTAATTTTACTGATCCATAGGGCAATGTGGGCTGGAACAGAAGTTTCTTGTAGGACACCCATGCCAGTAAGGTCTATGGGGAGAAATGAAGCTAAGAGTGACCACACCTACATTCTATATAGATTTTTATCATGGTATTAACCAGATCTAAATATGATACCGGCTTGGACATTGCCCAATTAACAAGGTCCGCATTCGTGGGTTAGGCAGAGGCTCACATTCAAAAAATAGACCAGAGTCTCCCTTGCTTACCAGCGGCAAAAGCAGTGCCAACCCAAGCATGGCTACTGCAATGTCCTCAACAGAAGTGAGGAACCAACCTAGCCCTTGTGTTTCTGTGGTAATGCACCCACAGACCACAAAAGCTGGAAAACCATGCCAACGGATGAAATGGACAATAGAAATGAATGAGTTTATCATCTATACTTATTACACCATCACAAGACTCGAAACAAACATGACAGTGTACAGACAACAACTACACTACAGCACAGATTCACACAACAATACCCTCACCTCACTGTCACTGAACAAAAGGTTGTTGATCAAAAAAGAACAATTATACACAACAACCTTATCCCACAAACAACACTTGAATTTATCAAACAACAGGTTGCTGATCAAATACATCAACAGACAGAAACATTTAGCATTGATGAAGATCACATTACCTGTCAGGATAATTCAGCAACAAGCACTGGTTACAACACACACACAATAACTACCACTAATGATACTACAGACACTTCCTCATTCATCACTGATAATATAAACACAGATTTAATACACTCTCATTTATATTTCAGGAAACACTCACTAAATATACTGGTACAGATCCCACACAAAGATCATGAATACCAAAAATCAACACATCAAAGGTAGTAGGAAAAACACTAAATTATATAAACACTCACTTACTACCACACTATATTCATTTAAATTCTACACTCTGAGGCATTCATACATTAGTTTATGCTGGGGCAGTCACAGTAGTGACACACCGTGGACTGAAAATACAATCACAGATAGATACACACAAAACACAATTCTATCACAAGCCTGTCTGGAAGAATAGAAACACAAATAAATGACATTAGACAGCAATTAAGCTGCTGACATAATACACTAAAAACAACATAACACCCAAATTAAAGAAAAATGTTTTCAAGAAAATCAAAACACACACAAAACATAAACATCACAGAATACATTAATACAGTAGACCCCCCCTATAACGCTTAGATACGTTCCACGTTAATCGAATTTTACATTGTAGGAATGATTAAATACATGAGCCAATCGCAGCCCGATAGGTGTGAACTTTACGGACTAATGCTGTTTGAAAGGTTTTCTTCTATACAATTAACCAATTCTAGACTAATTCCACTCAACATTTCCAAAACACGTATAATTTTTTGGGAATAATCCGTATAAACTATGCTATAAACAAAAAATTATAGGATTACTTACCGAGTGTGTACCGTTCAACTATGCCGTTGCTCAAAGTTTGTTTTCGTTGCAGAACAGCACACGAAATGGTGGCAGCGATTTCTGATAATGAATTTTTCGCAGAAAAATAACTTGACCTTTGGAGACATCATTAATATAAATAATTTTTATGGCCGTTGAATAAGAAGTGTTTCTTTCACAAGAAATGTATAAAATTAGTGCTGTATTAGACTTACGGTACCTAATTTACATACTGTACAGACGATAATAAACTCAACTTACTAGCCTAAAATCTCCGTAGCGTGTTGCCAGGCGGCAGAAAGCATATATATAATTATAATAAAGTTACAATAAATTAAGTTAATATATAATTATATATACAGTACCTAATTTATATATAATTAATATATAATTATATGTACAGTACCTAATTTATATATAATACTAAACAGACGATAGCAAACTCAATTTAGCCGCTCCGTAGCGTGGCGCAGGGTCGGAGGAAAGTAGTTCGGCTGCTCATCCACTATTGGTCCAGATTCTATCAATCTTGTCGCGAAACGAGTTGGCGACGATGTTTTAGGAGCTCCTTTATACGTATGTTGCTACAATTTTTTCGCTACGTTATAGGAACGCACATTATAGGGGGGTTGACTGTACACTAAAACAAAAACTTGCAGCCGAAGCATGTAGACTCAAACAATACAAAATATATACACTATGAAAACAACAAAACAGGTTATTTACAAACAACAAAAAACTCTTTTACAGACAAATTAGTACCGAAACAAACACTGATACATAGCACAGTGGCACATCAACAGAAGACGAACTCACAACTTATTGGTCTCTTTGGTCCAGTGCTGTTGCATACAACACTGATGCGGGACTGGATCGAGGAGGAGAACAAAAACTCACACAACATACCAACTATGCCCTGTGCTAAAATAAACATACATGACATCCACTAGGCCATTAACAGAACACACAACTGGAAGACAGCTGGTATAGACAACATTCAACATTCACAATTTCTGGTACAAAAAGTTTACATCACTGCACCAGGAACTAGCTAAACACCTAACACACATCATCATCAATCCACAAAATTTACATCACCTACATGAAACCTAAAAACAATAATACCATGGACCCCACATAATCCAGATCAATTACATCTTCCAACACTACAAATTATTGACATCCTGCATTGCAATATTGAAGAACATATTGAAGAACACAACATTCTTACATAACAACAAAATGGTTGCCTTAGAAATCACAGGGGATGCAAAGAACAGTTACTCATAGATTCAGTCATTCTACACAAACAACATAGAAACATACATATGGCATATATAAACTACAGAAAAGCATTTGACAGTATTCCACACAGTTGGCTGCTACATATTCTACACATGTACATCGGGTCCACATATCGATCTCGAGGCTAGAGTACGGGACCACAAGTATGATGTATCCAAGGGGAAGTATAATGCTGCACTAGCCCAGTATGCTACCAAACCCAGGGTTTCTCCTTGTTGGAATGAAGCTACACTTTTACACAGGGCGTTTGACTGACACGACTTACGTTTGTTGGAGGCTATTGAAATTTATAAAGCAGACATGAAGGGAGGTTGCATCAACACCGACAATATTCCGGTCCCACAATTGTGGAAGTATTATTTACAAAGCCACAAAACACGAATATGATTTTTAAATGAAACAATTTTTCCATATTGCACATCGTTTGTACTTCGGGCTAACTTTTAACAATGAATATATTACCACCACCATATATATTATTTTATATATTAACACCATTTATTTTTATTATATTTATTTATAACTTTATTTATAAATATTTTATTTATACATTGTAATATGGAACGATCTTGGTATTCAAAAATCGTTTAAATGTTAAAAAATTGGAACACAGCTATGTTCGAAAACTGTTAGGTTAAGCTGTTTTTTCTGTTCTATGAAATTTTTTCCTACGAGGGTCTCTGAAAGATGGCCGAAAACGTTTGAACATTAAAATTTTTATTGTTCATTTGCTGGAATTATCGCTTAGGTGTGAAGTGGTTATTTTAGTTGACAGTGCTATTGTCTATATCACCTTCTGACTCATTTTTAACAATGCTTTCTTCCTTGTCCTGTTCGATTGCATTTTCAACATCATTCTTTTGTTTTGTATTGTCATGCGAATGCAACAGCTTCTCTAAATCTTCTTCAGATCTTATAACTCTAATCATATCACTAGGGATTGCTGAAGTTGCAAGGCCCATTTTCATTGGACAACCAAACATTGCTTCGTAGGGGAAACATTTGATTCCCTCATGATATGCTCTGTTTTTCGTCACCTGGATGAATTTTAAACCCTCTGACCACTTCGATAACTGATTGATTTCCATCCACGTGCTCAAAATATTTTCTATGTCTTGATTAGCACGCTCCACTGATCCTTGACTTTGGTTATGTCTTGCCTTTCCATGTACAATTTTTACATTTGGCCACATGGAGCATAAACTCTCAATAACTTGGTTACAGAATTCTTGACCATTATCAGAATGAAGGATGCTCGGCACTCCAAAAGTGGTGAAAATATCCAAAAGATGTTATGCAACTTCTACGGCGCATTTAGTTTGAAGTGCACGAAGGATCACAAATTTGGTAAGATGGTCTTGGTAAACTAAAATGAATTTATAATTTCCATCTGGAATAGTTTGTAGATCTATTAGATCAACCTGACAGTGTGAGTTCATTTCACTGTGAAGTATAGGTCTGATGACAATGCTCTTTTTCAAAGTCTTCTATTTCTTTTGGCAAGGTTGACATAGCTTCAAATATGTCATAATAGCCTCAACTGTTACATTTTTATACTTGCAGCTACATTCCTTAAGCATCTGTGTCCTTCCACCGTGGCCAACAGCAACATGCGTTTCTTCAAGAATGTTGAATAAGTCCTCATAACAAATGTATTACCTTATTTCTCCATTCTCCTCCTTCATAGGTGCAATTAGTTTTTTTTCGCTGCCTACAGTCAAAATGTCGTAATGCTTTATACGCCTGTAATGAACAGCTAGTTTTTTTCATGTTCTTTGCAGCTTTTACTTCCTCCAAACACTTTGCATATTTGTCCCTATTGAGATAAAAGTTATTATCTTTCTTGCTTGCCACAAGCTTGTCCATTATTTCATAAAAACTCTGTTTCACACTCATCTTGATTCATAAATAATTTTTAGACAGTGAAATCTCAAACAGGATTAGAATTAACCTGTGCGTTCTAACATGTCAAACAATGTAATGTGGCCGTGCAGTGTTAGTAGCAGGGACTATTTTTTCAACATTTACCATGTCTCTGAGGTAAAACCTAAGATATAATGAGTAAATGCTGGTAAAAGTTCAAAATTAATGATGATTGACTTTAAAAGCCTGTATATTNCATTTTATATTACTTTGTAACATACTCAGATGTATTGCAATTTATAATAATTAAAAAATTATTATTAGTTATATTTATATTAAATAATTATAAATAATATTTTAAAAATCTAATAAAGAAAAACTTATAGTAATACAAAATGAAAATAATGCTGAGCAAATGACTAATAAAATATTAAAAATAGGTAGCTGATGCTTAAGTTAATTATTGAAAGACACATCATATCAATCTGCAAGCCTTTAATGATGAAACTAGTCTTATAAGTCTAAAATATCTGACTTTTTGAAATTTCAGATTTTCTTGTTTAATGTTAATCAGTGTCCTCTTTTGAATGCACTATTTCATTCTTGTATGAGAAGTCTGCTTCTGAAACTCAAGTGCTTCATGTCAGTGAGTCAATCAATCAGGTCAATGCAGTTTTATTCTAAAAATATTAAATTTTGAATTAAGAAACTGGATATAAAATTCATAAAGTATCTGAAATACAGATGTTCCATTTACAATCCAAATTGTCAAAATATATAAAAACAACTATCAAAGGATGGATTAAAATTCCCAAGTCAGTCAAATTCAATGTTTTCCAAAGTGGTTCCTACAGACTTAGAATCGCTGAGGGGATCTGTGGTAAATTAAAATTAATTTGGGGATGTGTGGACAACGTCAGGAGGTCCACGAAAGGTTTAATAAAAAATAAAATGATTGTGACCCATTTTCATTATTATGAAAGTTAAAAATAAATAATAATAAATAAATTGGTAAACATTTTTATGTCCTGAGTAAAATATAAGTATAGATAAGTACATAAAATACAAGTAATGACAAGCATTGCATAGTGGGAATACTAACTAAAGCTTGCCCATTTTGAATATGAGCTCTGCGCTTCATTTATTGCATACATTATGACATTTTAGAATTTATTTTGTTTGTTTATAGAATTTTAAACATTTATTTTTCTTTCCAAAACAGTAATTATTGGTTGTTTTTCATAATTATAAAAACTATTTAATGACTAAAAATATATAAATAATTCATTTATTTTGATCAAAAAATGTTTTTTTTTTTAAATGAAAATTCAATAGATAAAATAAAAAACTTATTAATTTTATATTTTTTTAATGTAATTTATAAATTATATTACAAAAATAATACCAATTATAAATAAATTATACATTTTTTTGTTTTCACTATACGATACTTGTTTTTTTAAAACAAGAAGCTTTAGCTAGTAATTTCAATAAATATTACTTTAAATATCAAAATGTTTTATTTATTTATGTCACCATTTACCATTCAAGACATCAAAATTAAGTTTGTAATTTTGCTATTATGTAGTTGTGTACAGTTCATAGTCAGGTTTTTGCTTTGAAAAGGAGTCCATGGGCATAATAAATTTGGGAACCATTGGTCAAGCTGATAATTACTTAAAGTTTGGGTGTTTGAATATTTTATAAGCAATTGTTTTCATTAAATAAATTACAATATTTCTTTTAGCAATCAATTTGCTTTGATAACAGAAACTTTAATAATAATAGTAAAATTACATAATATAGTATCACATCTGAATAGCAGACACTGTTAAAACTGAGAAGTTTGTCTGTTATTTAGAAGTGTCCGCTATTCAGAGGTATTGTACATGCCAGCGGTCATATTGTATTTTAATCTAGTCATTAATTATACAGTGAAGAATGTGACAGATTACAAAAACATCAAATTTGCATTAGGAATGTGAATGTACTGAAAAGTATACATAGCATATATAGTTAATATATCGTGTGTAGCTGTAAAAATCTCATTTTAATTGAAGTCTAAATAGCAAACAGATTGAATAGGACAGTGATCTCCAAACTTTTTTGATTGCGTACCCCTAAGATGAAAATAATTATAAGTTGTACCCCCTATAATATTATTATATGACCACAAGTGATCATGGGCCTACTTCTTCAGGAAGATGACTGTAAGTTTAGACAGACTGCGGACAGGACATACATACAATATCACTTTGCATATTACACTTTGGAGACCATTGCTATAAGATACTTTAATTAAATGGAACATAAAAATTACAAGAAAACATAAACGTTGATTATTTATTAATTCATCAAAAACTACCTGAGTGGGAGTAACGAAAAAGAAAAATGAAACTGTTATTATGAACAGAAGAATGGACAAAGGTCAATTTCGTCAATGAAAGTTTAAATGTTGAGTTAGGAAGGCAATTTGCTAGACACTTCAAGGGGTGAAAAATGTATTTTGTATTCTTGCATTTATAACATCATTTATGATCTAATCGACTAATAAAAATTAATATAGTGATTTTTCTACCTTGTAATTGAGTAGCTGTAATTTTTCAAACATTCTTGCTTTTCTCAATAAATTATTTATTAAAAATTATTTTAGCCACCAGAAAGCTGTTAAGATCATAAATTACATCATAAATGAAAAGAAAACCGAATATGTTCTAACACTTTAAAGTGGTTGGCAAATTGCCTTCGTAACACGATCTTTGAACTTTCACCAAATAAATGCTGTTGTCTTAACCTTAAAACTTTTTCTTTTCCATTAATGCTATGCTATGGTTCTTGTCAAATGAATGAATAACTTCAGAAAAGTTTATGGTTTCTTGGTACTGTAAGCTTAATTCCTATAATAAGACAGAAAACTGTTATGCATCTAATTATTTTAAAGCTGTACATATTGTTAAAAATTCATTCGTTTGCTTTCATGAATTTAAGTGCATTAGTAACTTAATTCTTCAGTAACTTTTATTTCTGATGTTATTTTATGACTATGCAAGTGCATCATGAAAGTGCAACACATTTTAATAAGAATGTAAAGTTTATCAGGCAAGAATGTAATTAATGTTAAAAAATGATGCTGAAAAGTTCCATCTATGGATATGATTGTTAGAGTTAAAAATTTTAATTACTATTTACTGATGATAAATATGGATTAATATATATCATTTCAAAATTGAAATCATATAATAACTAAAATTTAAATTTATTTTAATTTAATTTAAAGTCCTGAATTTTAAGTTGTTTTAAAAAATAATTTAAAAACTAAAAATCTGTGCAATTTTCATAAAACATAATGCATATTTTTGGGACTATATACTTGATTATTAGATTACCAAAAAGTTTAAATTAATTTTTTCTTTGATAATTCTACTCTTTACTATAATGCTAAGAATGGTATTTTAGCCATTTAAATTGCTAATGAATTAAAGTTCCAAACATACGTAAGACTAAAAAATTGTTGAACTTTTTAATCTTGAAGTGCATTTTTATGCATTTTGTTTATACTGTAAGAGATGTCAAATGATACATTCTTATAATTCATTTTTCTTTTGCATAATTAGTAAAATCATAATAAAAAAATTATATGAAAGTTATTCAGAAATATTTCTTAAATTTCCAGATATTTAATAATTTAGATAGGCAATTTATGAATTAAAAAAATTCCCGTAATCTATTCAGTTAGTTTGTATAATAGTATTATGATATTCATCAACTATAAAATATCTTATTTGAAAACTTTTAGAGATGCAAAAAGTAACAAAAAAAAAAAAAGTTGAAATCTACTTTAACATACATTATATTAATCAATTGGTTTTTATGAAATTTAACATATATTATCACTAGAGGTTTTCCCATTAACTATCTTCAATAGCCAATACAAGTGTTTTGTGTTGTTTCACAATATTTTCACATCTGTGACGCAATTTATAATACTTCTTTACACATATTGATTAAATAATTGCAAATTATGTAGTTAAGTTGGCATCCTACCACTCTGGGGAGTAGGGATCAAATCTAGACAGGTCAAAAAAAATCTCAAGAATTTTTTGGGAATAATTCACCAGGTTATCTTAGGCCTTGTCTCTCACCACCCAGCCACCCAATTGTTGGCCAGTCCAAATCCATAATGGGCTTGCTAAAAAGAGTTTCTTAGTGCCCATTGATGGAAACAATTAAAAATTTCAAATATTTAAAAATTNATCTCCTTTCTTTTTGATGATAAGATTAAGTAAATATCCTTAATTTCTAACTAATAAGAATATAAAATAAACAACAATAGAAAAACAAAATATAATCTTAACTACTATATGAACAATCATTTGAATCATAATTTACTAGTGATTTATAATATAGCTAGATTACTCTGTGAAGTTGTTATTTATAGTTTCAGATATAACAGCATGAAACAAAGAAAACTGAAAAACTCCTTTCCCTAAATTCAATCATCATACAGATTCTGACTAAAATAAAATTCTTTGTAAAAAATGTAAATCTAGTTTTCAAGGAACTATGGTATTTTATTTATTTTAACAAGGAATAAAAATCAAAGTTATGTTGGCCAGTCCAAATCCATAATGGGCTTGCTAAAAAGAGTTTCTTAGTGCCCATTGATGGAAACAATTAAAAATTTCAAATATTTAAAAATTTAATAAAGAATAATCAATGGTCAAACAAAAAATACAAAAAAATAATGAAGAGCAAATTAATAAGAACATATATTAAAAAAAATAGGCAGATAGTATTTGAATTAATCAATTGCTTAAATGTCAAGATATTCTGAGAGATATCAAAGATCTAATTGTAACCCTAATAGCACCTAAAATATTTTATTTTTTATAATTTTGAATTTTTGTGATAACATACTTAATGTCTCTTTTACTTGTGAGCAATTAAAAGAAGTTCAATATAGTTTTACATACATTAGCTACTGACATGCAATTATATATTGTAACAGGTTTATTTTTGTAAGAATATATTTTGTTAAAATTTGTGAAATAAAATTTAAATAAATAAATTAAAATTAATCCAGTTTCATCTGTGACAGAATTACAAATAAATATGTTACATTAATGATTCTTCTACTATTGGAGATTGAATGATGGTTCTTCTCTAATTTTCCATACTGTAGGTACTAAATTTATGAACTTGATTTATTTGAAGTCACTTTTAGTTNAATTAAAATTAATCCAGTTTCATCTGTGACAGAATTACAAATAAATATGTTACATTAATGATTCTTCTACTATTGGAGATTGAATGATGGTTCTTCTCTAATTTTCCATACTGTAGGTACTAAATTTATGAACTTGATTTATTTGAAGTCACTTTTAGTTTGGATACTGTCAAAAGGACCTAATCTTAACTTTCCATGCATTACTCATTAGAAGAAATGCTTATTATTCACTTCTCATTTGGGTTGTCTAAAAACATACTGTGCAATGAGAAATTTGTAATGACATTAAAGTCATACATACAGTATTGCATACAAGACCTGTAAGTTCTTCATTCAGTATCAGTTGGCCAATTGACCATATGGTATTGCATACAACTTACAGGTCTTGTATACAATACTGTATGTATGACTTTAATGTCACTATAAATTTCTCACTGAACAGTAAGTTTTTGAAAATTAACTACTCACCACACCTATATAACAATCACATACACTGAACCAATTTACGGTGTGGTATGATTGCCTAACAAGTACAAAAACAAACGTTTTCAAACCTCTTCTGGGCTCTACAGTTTTAGCTTGTAAATTTGATTAAAAAAACCTTTTCAAATAACTTTGTTCTTGAGTTTGAATGGTTCTTTTAAACTTATACGTCACGCATGCGTGACAAGTCTGCCTGCTCGGATATAACGAGTGGCTAAAGTGTGCTGTGTATCAACTCTTGCCAGGCCATCGACAAAATCATCTCCTCTTTAAAATTTATGCACATAGTTTCGATAGAGGATTTAAAGATGTGCATCGCCTCTAACCACTTGAGATGTTCATTGGGAGGTGCCCTGAGGAGAAGATTGGCCCTATTAAAGTCGGCAACTATGTCCGGGTCTGTTACACATGTTGCGAGGGCCGTGCTGGTTCTCCCATGACGATTATCCACCCTATGTTCTTGCATTCTGATGCCTATGGATCTTTTAGTAGAGCCTATATATACTAATCCCTATTAAATCTATTAGCTCTCAAAGGGACACTATAGATTCCTGGTCTTCTTCTGGGGTTAGGAGGGTCCTTCCCATTACTTAAGATGTTAAAAATAGTGGGACACCTCCTGTAAGCAATACATATTTGGCACTTCCTGGCAATTTTGTCGTATATAGATCTTACATATGGATTTTAGGTGATGGGGATCCATTCTATGTCTTCCAGTTGGTTATCAATGTGTTGGTCTACCAGCCGTACGCTATCTACATATATCCAGCTATAATTTTATATCATCTTACATATAGGTTTGCGGTAATCATGTTCTGCGGCAACTCACTGTATAGACGCTAGCAGTGCCTGGAAGTGCTGTGCCAATGGTATCTTGTGATAGCTCAGACGTGCATTCGAATTGTCCTGCGTTACAGAGGTGATGTGTTACCTATAATTTGCTTTTAATAATACTTTGCTCAAGATACCCTACTTAAGGAATGTGTTGTTGCCCAACTTCATTCCATCTTGAAGCGGCAAAAACATACGTCAATCCACGTTCTAACTACTCAGGCTGAGAATTATGTTCTTGAGACTTGAAACAGTTATTTCTGTTTGCCTTCTTAATCTATAAGTACTCAATCACCAAGATATTTATTAATTAAATATATATTAATCACGAAAAATATTATTAAATACCAAAAGTAAATTTATATTATAATAACTCTATATGTAAATGTTAATAGTTAAATTGTGATCGTCCTATCAATGTCCCTCAACAATCTTATCTATTTATTTTTATTTTATTTTTTTTGTTTGTTTTGTTTTTTTTTACCATTACTACAACTTAATGTTATTTAATTTTCTCTACGAATATATATTGTAACATATTTGTATTGTTTATCTCCTGGTAATGCGCCATGCGGAGCCAGGAATGTACTTGACAGTACATTGTAAATAAAAATGAATGAAATGAAAATGAATGTATAGATGCTAGCTCTTTATCATGAGCTTGTATGTTAGAAGAATGTGTGAAGGCTCTTCTGATTAAGGCTTTATATGCTGCCATCTTGTAGGAAACCGGATCGCATGACCCCACAGGGATGTATGACGAAACAGATCCTGGTTTATAGTACACCGCAGTGCTGATGCCATCTTTTTCTAACCTAATATTTTTTGGACATCCTGCATTTGAATCTAGATTGCTTTATAAATTATTTTATTTCTGGACAATTTTAATAAATTTTCTAGTTTAATTATCAAATAGAATACTATATAACCAAAATTATAAATATGACTACACAATATATATCTTTTACAGACAAAATATTGCTTATTACATAAAATCTATTATATTATAATATTATAATTGTATTGAAATATAATTTACCTTATTTATTTTTATATTAGGCATCTGTGAAGCATCATGATTTGTTATAATAAAACAAGGACTATGGAGACGTTTGGCTTGATGAACTAACATATAACAGCGTTTATTATCAACATCATTTGCAACAACAACACCATCTAAAATAGAAATGAAAGTAACAGGAATTAAATTATAAACAGTTTTTAATGCTTAATTAAAATAATATATTTTTTTAAAACTCAATTAAATCAATAAATCAATTTTTTTATATTTAAAGAAATGAATGCCTAGAAACAGATGAATAATATATATATTGATGATAAGATTAAGTAAATATCCTTAATTTCTAACTAATAAGAATATAAAATAAACAACAATAGAAAAACAAAATATAATCTTAACTACTATATGAACAATCATTTGAATCATAATTTACTAGTGATTTATAATATAGCTAGATTACTCTGTGAAGTTGTTATTTATAGTTTCAGATATAACAGCATGAAACAAAGAAAACTGAAAAACTCCTTTCACTAAATTCAATCATCATACAGATTCTGACTAAAATAAAATTCTTTGTAAAAAATGTAAATCTAGTTTTCAAGGAACTATGGTATTTTATTTATTTTAACAAGGAATAAAAATCAAAGTTATAGGAACCCATAACAGATTATAAATTTTCAATTCACTAGCCTAATTGCAGCTATTTGTTTAAAAAACAAATCACTATTGAAATTGATATTGAACAAGGATATCTAAAAACATATCTAATATAATAAATTATAGATTACTGTTTTGTTTTGACTTCTGTTTATCACATGAAATTATTGTTTCATCTTTAAAAGCAGAAAAGATAGAACAGCACTTTTTACACAAAAGTCTGAAAATTAGCAATACACACTAACTAAAGAGTAACTTTTTCTTTTATTTTAGCTCAATGCAATAGGAAAAAAATTATAAAATCACTATAATGTGCACTAATTATTAATAAATNAAAATATATCGGATGATCATTTGCAATCATTGCTTATAATTGGTGTTTCAGATTTTAATCCCAACTTTAAAGAAATTCTTCAGCAAAAAACACAGTTTCATCATTCCCATTAAAAGTTGCATGAAATAATTTTCTAATTATGTATAATTTAGCCATGCTTGTTTAGTATTGGTGTATCTGTAATTAACTGTAAAAAATAAAATTTAATGCTGCCTTAATCATGATGAGACTTTTTAATTCACATATTCACGTAGCCCGCTGCAAATGTATTTAATTCCCAATCTGGCCCTTGCGTCAAAAAGTTTGGACACCTCTGATCTATACAAAGAAAACACAATGTCAGTCTTAAAGGCTAAAGTCTGAAAGCAACAATGACACCTTGTTGATAGGAAAGTTAGAACAAGGAAGAAAAAATTGCACCATCAATTTTCATTAAAGAAAACCTGATGAAAAGCACAAAATAATTTGAAAATTTTAATATTCTAAAAACCATGGGCAAATTTGAGATAACAGACGTGCTTACTTAAATTTAAAAGAAGTATATCAAATAATGAAGTTTACACTTGAAAATTGTGAAATTTTGTATAGAGGATTTCCAAAATTGTGTTAGAGTGAAACTGGAAGCTGCTTGTATGGGGGATAGCCCCCATTTTCAAATCATGTTAGAGCATAACAGTGTTGTACAAGGGATACACGTACTAAAATTATTTACTGTATGATGGATATACAAACTTGAAATCTGTATGTTTCATAATTATATATTGTATCACAATAAAAATGTTTTAAATGTTTGCCTTTATTAATAATATTTTGACATATTTTTAGGTAATATTAATAACAGACTTTATAATTATTATTCCTATTAAAATGTTTGACAATTTTAAAATAAGTTAAAAATTTCAGCTAATAATAAAAATAATTTAATATATTTCCATAAATGTCTCAAAATCAGTATCTATATTTCGTTTTTCAAAATTTAGTTAATTCAGAATTCTGTTAGATTTTACAACTGAAACATAAAGAATGTGAATATATTGCATCCTTGCTATGCTTCCAATTTATTGAACTAAAGACAAGAATACAGGCTTTCAGTTTCCACCATCATGTTTACTTTCCTGGCTGCTTATCCATGGACAGATGTTTAATTAGATACCCTTTTAATTACTTTCTGGGCTATTAATATAACAGAGGGAAAATATTGCAATTGGTCAAAAAATGGTGCCCCAAAATTTTTACTCGGGTTATCTTGAAACATCAGAAATGCACATGTATGGATGTTAATGTGGGGGGGGGCAAGATTTTGTTCATCCTCTTTAAAACTTAATAACTTCCATGCTTTTTGTCAAAAATTTCTCAAATTTTGCAGGGATGGGATTGATGCTATTAAAAAAATAGCGGTTAAAGATCAAGGGGATAGAGAGATAAAGGAGGGGGTTGTGTGTCATATCTTGAGTGGAGACAGACTTAATGAAGATTTTGCTTATTATTAGCATTTACAATTTTTTTTTTTTTTTTTTTTTTTTAAAA